GATCTCCTGGGATGTGCGCGGCGGGGGGAAGAGAAGGATGATGATGGCGATGAAAGCTAGGAGGAGGAAGGGGAAAAGTAACGAGGCCGCCACCAAGCGACACGCAACCACTACGTCGTGAGAAAGACCCGCATCGACGCGGTCAAACCTGAAAAACCGTCAAAACTGACAGTACGGATGCACGATACGACGGGGGCAGTGGACAAGGAACCCTTAGAGAAGGAACCCAGGGTCTGTAAGCTGGTGGGGCTCCAATCGCGGACCGGCCATGGATATCACTGCCACCCTCATCAAGTAAGGAATCCTCGAAGAGTCTGAAGCCTCCTGGGCACATTCCTGAACGAACGCCCCCGCCGTAAGGATGCAAGCCCCCTGGACGCGCACGTCGAGGCCCTTCGAGCGGGGCTGGCCGTCGAGAGTGGTTGAGGATGGACCGAGAAGACAGGGATGCCAAGGGTACCCTTGGGAAGTCGATCGCCCTTACACTAGTCGGGTCGGGCGAAAGGGGGGGATAGCAAAGGGGGGGTTTGAGAATCAGCTCACGTAGCTGATTTTCCCGGCGCCTCCCGGCGCCGGAGGCGGCCATGTATCGAGGAATGGGCCCCTCGGCGAGGCCGAAACCAGCTGCATGCAGCAAATTTCGTAACCCCCCCTTTCCCAATCCCCCCCTTTCGCCCGACCCGAACTAGCTGCCCCGATACGCGAGACGCAGCCCGCTGCGTGTTGGCAGGGAGCTCAGCACGTGGACCGAATACGAAGGTCTGGCGCGATGCGCGGGCCAACACGTGTCGGGGAGACGTAAGACACGGGTACGGGGGACTCGGAAATCCCCGACGAGGTCGTGAAAAAAATGACGAGGCCGAGCCTGCATTTTGACGAGGCCTCCCGCTGCAGACATCCCACGAAACTCCTCCTCGTCAAAATCCGAATCGCGGTCGTCAAAAAACGATGGCGAACCCGAGTCCTGGCAAACCCGGGTCTTACGCTCCCCCGAAGCGTCTTAACACGGACGTTTTGAACGCATCACTTCTTGCGCCTCAACACGGGCGCATCAGGGCAACTACGATCCGCACGACCAGCTTCGACTGCAGCAGAGCCCTGAGGAACAGGCCCACATTGGTGCCCCCCTCCGCGCGCAAAAAAAAGGCAGGGATGCAGAGGCACCCTTTGGGACCGAAAAGGCAAGGATGCCACGGGCACCCTGTGGGAAGTCCACCATCCTCACTCTCAGCCTCGACCGTCGAACATCCCCAGGGACCGGCCCACACTGACCCTGGACGAAGAACACCGCCACATACATACACTTGTGGCGCTCCGCGCGGGTCTCTTGGATCCGCGCTGGGCCCCCCTCCCTGGCGCGCGGAGCGCGCCGGGGGGGGGGGGCCCAGGCGCGGACTCCAGGAATCCGCGCGGAGCGCCAACAGGTCGTGCCTGTGGCGCTCTTGTTCTCTTCGAGGCTCCCCCCCGTCCGCGCGCGGGCTCGCGGGCAGCCCGCCTGCCGGGCGGGGGCCGGGGACACGCTGGCCCCCGCCAGCGGCGGGCGCGGCATGTGCGCGCGGCGCCCCCCCAGAGGGCCGCGCCCGGCATGGAGGGGCGGCCCCGCGCGCCCGCAGCCCCTCTGCCGCCGAGCAGGCCCGAGCGAGCGCGAGGGCTCGGCCACGCGCGCGGGGGGGCGCCAGGGAGACACAAGCAGGCCCAGACATGGTCGCGCGCCGTTACGGAATCAGGACGGGAGGTTTGTGGCCATGTTCGGCCTTGGGGGGCCCTGGCCGGGCCTCGGGACCATCAGACAAGAAAACGGCTCACGATGAAAAGCCGGCCCTGGGGAAAGGGTCGGGACTTCCAGGGGCCCCGCATTGAAAAATCAGGACGTCGCATGTCTGTGAATACGTCGCCGCGCAAGTGTTCTCGACGCGCCGAATTGGGCGAAACGGACACCACGGCGAACCCACAGCAAAGCAACGTCCGAGGCGGAGTGTGCCCTGGTGGCCGAGGCGCTGTCCCCAAGACATCTAGGGCCGCGCGCCTGAACCAACGGCGCGGCGGCATGCGCACAAACTCAGAAATTTGTCATCGATGGCCGGCTCCGATGGGCACCAAAGCCCGGAACCTCACAAGGTTGCCGTCTCCCGTCGGCGACATGCAAGAGTGACCCTGGGTAAGAGTAACCTTTGGTGCGGGGCTTTTGGGGGGCCGCGGGGGGACCAACACACCAGCGCGCAAGACGTTGGTTGCTGTCGCATCGCATTCGGCGACCGGGGAGACCCCAGCGGGTCCGCACCAGAAAGGTCACTCCAGCGAAAGGTCGTTATTACTATTCCTGCCAGATTTCCTATCATTGCCGGAAACCTGAGCAAAACCATCGTTTTATGCACATGTATCGCAAATCGCCGCCTGGTCAGAAACCGAAGCATTCCCCCGTGCAAAGAACAATCGCTGCTCGCGTGCTGGTGACGCCCTTGTTCCGGTGGCCTCTGCAGGGCGTAGGGGGTGCAGCGACACGGGCGACACCTGCGCGCGGACGGCGAGTTGTTCGGCGCGCAGAAATTGCATCGTTTCAATTAAAATATCCCCAGAATCTGGGCGCTAACGCACCCGTGATGTACCCCCTGGCGCCTCCCCCCTGTGGCGCCCAAAACTGATCATTGCTACACCAGAATTGCCGCGGCCGGAAAAAACACACATGTCGAATTTCGGGGTGTCCAAATATTCGTTTTCTCCGTGGCGGCCCTGAACAAAAAAAACACGCCCACCGCATAAAGTAAGCGTTTCGCCTGAGATATCCCCGCATGCTGGACGCCAACGGACAAATGTCCTACCCCGTGGTCGATACCCCTTCTGGCGCCCAGAAACTATGGTTGCGACATCGCAAACACCACGCGGCCCTGAAAAAGACGCGCCTATATCCATCAAACAAGCGAACCGCTGGAGACATCCCCACGACCTGGGCGCGACCCGGTAAGTGACCTATCCCCTGGCGGCCCCCCCTTGTTTTGCACAAGTGCTATGCCTGCCAGGTCGCGATGATTCTGGTCGTGAGATGGAGAAGGAGGGAGGAGAAGAGAGTGAGTAGACGGAGTCGCGACACGGATAACAAGAACTCACGACGTAGAATATTGGAATAAACTCCGCAACATCCTCCACGAGACGCGCAACTGCCTGCACAAGGATCCATTATGACCGTCAGACCCTTGCTCCGCACGCGTTCGACGGAAACTGGCGGCAATCAAACTGGCGCTGCCTGCGCCGAAGCGAACGCGCCGTTTGGACGGACTTTCGGCCATTGTACGGAAGTTCGGCCCGCATACTCGTGTCGTTGGAGGGTCAGGAGGAAGGTTAGGGGCACGGGGCCGAGAAGAGGCTGGTCAAAGAGGCAGGAGACACCCGATGCCCCTCGAGAGGATACCCCACCGCGCGCGGGCCAGGGCACACGCACACCCACCTCGTGCCAGCTCGCGAGGCGCGCCCACTAGCGGAGCAGGCGCACGGCACATGGCGAGCTTGCGGGTGCAATCGCGCACTCATGGCGAGCACTATGCGAGGAGTATTAGTAGTAGTAGTAGTAGTAGTAGTAGTAGTAGTAGTAGTAGTAGTAGTAGTAGTAGTAGTAGTAGTAGTAGTAGTAGTAGTAGTAGTAGTAGTAGTAGTAGTAGTAGTAGTAGTAGTAGTAGTAGTAGTAGTAGTAGTAGTAGTAGTAGTAGTAGTAGTAGTAGTAGTAGTAGTAGTAGTAGTAGTAGTCGTAGTCGTAGTCGTAGTCGTAGTCGTCGTAGTCGTAGTCGTAGTCGTAGTCGTAGTCGTAGTCGTAGTCGTAGTAGTAGTAGTAGTAGTAGTAGTAGTAGTAGTAGTAGTAGTAGTAGTAGTAGTAGTAGTAGTAGTAGTAGTAGTAGTAGTAGTAGTAGTAGTAGTAGTAGTAGTAGTAGTAGTAGTAGTAGTAGTAGTAGTAGTAGTAGTAGTAGTAGTAGTAGTAGTAGTCGTAGTAGTAGTAGTAGTAGTCGTAGTAGTCGTAGTAGTAGTAGTAGTAGTAGTAGTAGTAGTAGTAGTAGTAGTAGTAGTAGTAGTAGTAGTAGTAGTACTGGTAGTAGGAGGAGCAGGATTCGGTGTAACTTACGCCCCCGCCTCCTCCAGTCTGACCCGTGGAGATCAGGTCAAGCCTGGGCATGCTGCACGGTCACTTCTAGGGAAGACTTCCACCACTTTTGGGGGGGGGGGTCCCCGAGACAGTCGGGGAAAAACCTCCTTCCCTGTTTTGCAAGAAGGCGACCAAAATCATTGCACGGCTGGCAAATAATCTGTGATGCAACAGTGTCGTGGGCACTACTTCTCGAACAGTAAGTCACACCACGCAGCATGTTCTGTCGGTGACTACTTGCACGCTTGGGATGCACGGGGTGGAGCATGGGAGCAGACGAGAGCTCGGGAACTGGACGTGGCCCTGGGCAGAACCTACCCGAGAGGCCTCTCAAGGGGAAACGACGATCACAGATATGGCAATTCCAACTGCACCCGCTCTTGGCACTAGAGGCCTCCTAGATGGGGTCCGAGTAGATGGGGTCGGAGGATCGCGACGCATCGCCGACGCATCGGGGATATATCGGCGATGAATCGACGATGCGTCGGCGACGTCGGCGATGCATCGGCGACGCCCGCGCTGAGAATATCGAGATCCCCATCCACGCGCATCGCCGATGTATCGGCGATGCATCGGCGATGCGGCGCGATCCTCCGACCCCACCTGCTCGGACCCCATCCGGGAGGCCTAGAGACACACGCATGCCCGGAAGCCAGGAGACGCACACTGCGGGCGCAGAAAGAAGAGAGAGACAGCACGGAACCCCGGCTGCGGGCGGCCCACTCGATCGGCCGCCAGCCTTTTTGCACGACGCCGCCACCTCCGTGCTGATGGCAAGGAGGTCGGCATCGAGGGCGACGAGGATGGTTCGACGATCGTGAAGGAGGAGCGCTCGACGATTTCCTTCTCTCTTTTTGTTCGAGGGGTCGGGTCATCCTGCTCCCGAACCTGCTCCGCAGCACTCCCTGTGACGGCCGAGGCATTGGCAGCCCCGCCTGCCCACAAAAAAAACCGTCGGCACGCCATAGCAGGCAGCATCCAGCAGACCCGACGGCGAGTGTTGCGGGCTCAAAGAATATACACCACCACCACGTCGATTCCTCCTCCCTCCTTCACCGTCACCTTCCTCGCTTCCTTCCTGGGAGAGGGAGGGGCTGAGGGAGGTGGTGGTGGTGGTGGTGTATACCTTTGGGCTCCGCACATGTCTGCGCGGGCGCAGGAGACGCGTGGGACTTCGTCGACAGAGCTGTGATCATGCCAGGACCGCGCCGATCGATCGCAGACCAGGTCATGACCCACAGATCGAGCAGGAGCGAATGCTGGGCAAGATGCGCCCGCGGCTGAGTCATATACCACACCATGGCGAAAGGGAACCAGCACAACATACACTGTCTCCACGGCTAGTGTTCAGGACGACAAGGAAAGCAAACCGCTCGGCCCCAAGATTCGACTGTTCTGGAATGGGGAGGCTACCACGGCGCAGGGAACTGAGACGAAGTAAGCCATCAACAGGCTCCTCGAGACGGCCGATGGACCACCCACATCGGCCAAACCTCTCATCATGAATTATCACGAGCACGCTTGTCTCCAGAGCCGCCAAGACCCCAAGTTCATCCATCCAGTACGCGATGCTCACCAGACGAGCCCCTAAGACCAAACTCGGGAGACAGGCGGAAGAGGAGGAGGAGGAGGAGGAGGGGGACCCCGAGACCTGGGCGTCGCAATGCTGTACAGTGAGCGGTTTGAATCAGGAGCACTTCCTTTTCGAAAGGGGCTCGGTCGTTCCTTATGTTTGCATGCGTTGGTCATCGTTCCTTATGCGTTATGTATTGTGCATCGTCCCTTTATGCGTCATTCCTTGGAGAGGTGGAGAAGAGAAAAGGGCTTCGTCCCTTATATATCGTTCCTGAGGTCAGCCGATGACTGTACGAATATACCCGCGACATGACCCAAGGTAAACCAACGCGACCACGAGATGGCTGCGCCAGGGGGACCGGCGGCCGAGAGGCGGCAGCCCTGCAGACAGGACAGGACCCCCCGAGAGTCATCAGTGCAAGGCATGTCGTGACGACCACCTGTAAAGTGGACGGTTTCCCCTGGGGCCGTAGGCGACCCGAGGAGGGGAGGGCGAGGAGGGGAAGGAGGAGGAGGAGGAGGAGGAGGAGGAGGAGGAGGAGGAAAGGGAGGAGGAGGAGGAGTGCAGCACCAGCTGAAAAAGGGAGCCACCCAATTCGCATGCACCAGCCCAGCTGAGCAAGTTGAAACTCGTCCTCCAATTCATCGGGCACGGGTTTCCTTCTGTCAAGTACCCGCCGCCCCAGCTCTTCAGCCGCGGCGCGGGAGGAAAATCCAAACAGCGCGAGCCCACGGACGAGGTCCACTCCTGACACCGAGCCCGGTGCAGGGTCCAAATGGGGAACCTCCTCTAGGCCAAGCATGGAGGCCATGAAATCCCTAGAGGCATCAGACAGGGCGCTGGCTGACCCTACGCGTTCGTCTCGACGGGAAGGGTGCTTACCGCGCAGAATCCAAACCAATTGCCATTCTCGGCCTGTAGACCGACTGCCTAGACAAGCCGACGCGAGGGCACTGCGACCCCAAAAACTCCCATGGTGACCGACCCACCCGCAAGTCCTGCAAAAAACACCATGTCCCCAGAGGGGTTCCCGTGAGAGACGAGATTGGGGCCTCGAGGCACACGTGACCTCGGGCTCTCCAGGCTTGCCCAAACCTCCTCGCCCAGCACTGGCAGAGGTCCGCTGGCTGCTCCAGCGGCGGCCGCCGCCGAGCCCGTAGGTTCCTCCCCGACGACGGACGACACTCCCGCACCCGCAGCCGTCCCACCCGTCCCCTCATCGGCATCCCCTTCGAGGGGCGGGAATTCTAGAGCAACGGAGCCAAGCCAATCCAAAGAGACGTGATCGAACAAGGCGGCGTCAGATATATGCACCTCTTGCCTGGCCGAGAACTTCGAAACCCGGCGAGCAATTTCGTGGCATCCTAGGATCACGAGGCGGTCTTCTTCAAAGCTGCGAAACAACTGGGCCCCCTCACGAGCGCAACGGTCGGCCTCCTGGTTGCCGAGCCATTGGCAGCAAGTGGGAAGGCCGCCGATTACATCGTTCTCAGAACAATGAAACGGAATCTTATGGGCAGCCGTATCGTCCAGCTTGTCGTGGACTTGGGCCCACCAGTGGGACCTCGGGTTCTGGGGCCCAGCCGCCGTCCGAGGGTCCCTGGCGCAATCAACCGTGCCAGCACAATCTATATGGAACTGGACGCCCCGACTCAAAACTGCATTCAGCACCAGCTGGAGGATCGCACAATCTTCTCCATCGCGGGCTGCCTGGAGGGGTGCCTCGGCCAGTGGCACCACCCCCCAGAGAGCGTGCTTCACCACCCCGCCCCCGTCCGTCACCACCACCGCCCACCCCGCCAACCCATGACGCGGGGTGCGGCCCTCGTAGGCCGACCCATCCGGAAAGACGTGCCAACCCTCGCCCAAAACACACCCCATCTTCTGGCCAATTCAGGCGATGGAGGTAGCAGGAGGAGGGATCAGGGGCCCTGCGGGGGAACCGAGAAAACGGGTCAGGAAAACAAGCCCGCGCAGAGCGTTCCTGGGCCCTACTTGGGAGGCGAGCCGCAAACTGAGATGCCGCGGCGACTGCTGGCGTTAACTCTTCTCGCCGCCAGGCCGCCAAACTGGGGCAGGAAAATCGTTGGTGGCAGAGGGTGCCGCGTTCCCCGCAGTGGAGACAGTTGGAGCGGATATCTTCGCACTTCTCGCAGAATTTAGCCTGGCACAAATATCGATTGGCCAGAAGACCCCTCAAGACATTCTGGTGGTGGCTGGTCCACCCGTCAGAGAGATCTTGCAGGCGAACAGGGCCTGGGCAGGGCGGGCGCAAACCGGGCCAGACCATTCCTCGACGAACGACTGACGGCTCTGCTCATCGGCCACAATCGCGTCCCAACACTCCCGCCTACAGAACGCCGGCAAAAACTCTGGGGAAAAACGGTCCAATGAACAAAGCTTCCCTGAGCGATCTCTGAAACTGTTTTCATCGAGCTCCAGATCCCAGCCGATTCGGCGCAAGGTGAGCAGCAGGGCAGCAACTGGTTGCTAAATTGCAGATCAAAGCCGCTTGTTCTTCAAAACCTCGCGCACATCATCAAAAGCTGAAGCCAACACTGCTCTTGAGACAAATTTGTGCCACCAGAGTGACGCGAAACATTTCACTGTGGCAACTGTCACATGCACGAATGGGTCGCGACCCCAATTCGAGCTGAGAGGAAGGAGAAACCTAAAGACGAACCTGGCTGCAACGGACCTGTACTGCGAGCGGCCGCCACGCGGAGAGCTCGGAGGGCAGAATTCGAGATCCCTTGGATCGCAGAACCCCAGGGCGCTTTGGCGGAGGGACCGGCGCGAAAAGCTCTGAAGGCCTCTCGGGCTCTGCCAACGGCCCGAAGGCGAGCGGCTGCAGAGATGGCAGCTGCTTGCCGGCCCTGCTGGATAGGAATGCGCCGGCGCGGGCCGTCAACCGCGTCGCCTCCGAGGTCGCGGTGGGTGTCAGACAGTAAGCTGACATCAAGCGGCCAATCGGGGTCATCCAACATGTTTTGGCGACGGTCAGGGGCAGGTCACGCTGCCGATACCAGAAGGACGGCGCGAACCAGTCACTGACAATCTTCGCGCCCCCTACTGCATGCAGCTTGATATCGTCAACTAGATTGACAGGGCGACAAACGGGAGTTTTTTATCGCCACCTCCCGGAGGACACTCAGCACCAACAGTTTGACGACACCAGTGGCGCAATAACATCCAGCCACGACAGTTCTGTTTGGCAGGATGCTCCGCGACGTGGCCGACAACCACCTGATTCGCCGAGGGCCCCTGTAGAGGATGCAGAGGAAGCGGAGGAGGCCTAGGTTAAATGAGTAATGCCTCGCACTCTGCCCCAGCGCGGCATGCGAGATGTTTCCATACAAAAAACGAGACAAATCAAAAAACACAGAGCCGCTGACCATCCCAAACCTGCGCGCGTGCACCGTCAGCCTAGGTTGTGCACGTGTGCTGCGCGGTCCGCTGCCGTGTCGCCCGACTTGCCCCAGAAAAAAACCGCGTCGACCGACTGCTCCCAGCGCCTGACCTCTGCTGCCGCACGCGCGACCAAACGCGACCCCACATGCAGAGAAGGCCGATGGGGCGACGCCCAAGCTGGGGCGGCGGCTTTGGGAGGAACACCATCATCGTGAGCCCCAGGTGGGGCATGCACGGCGTCGCCTCCCAGCGGTTGAGAATGTCCACAAACCGCTGGACCAGCGCGACGTTCAGCAGCAACAGGCAGCGCGGGTGGAAGCTATCCCAGCCGAATCCCGTCTCCAACGGGAATGGCCTGGCCTTGTTCAGGACCTGGCTGACCAGGATGGGGGGCAGGGTCACCTCCACCTCCCAGGTCGCTGCAGTCTGCTCGTCGGCGCGGGACGGCTCGTCCCAAATCTCAGGCCCCTCCTCGAGGATGGCCTCGGCTGCCGTCGACAGCCGACCTGGGCAAGGCCCTGCTCGTCGCCTGGGCGGGCCACCGCCTGGGCTTCCCCGCGCTTCTCCTTGATTAGGCGGTGCGCCACGCGCCCGGAGCCCTCGAGAGCCGACGAGCAGAAGGACCTCCAGTCCTTCGAACGCTGCGCAGCGTCGCTCCGTCGTCGCTGAGCCACCTCCTCCAGAAACAGCTCTTCAAACCAGTTGCAAAGCGGGCTCGCGCGAACCGCGAGGCCGAGCCAGTCCTGCAGCGAACCGCGGGTGAGGCCGGGGGCCTCGGACGCAGCTGGTGGCAGCCGAAGCGCTGCCGCCTGCCCAACGAGCCGGTCTCGCAGCTTCGGACGGAGGGCCTTGGACCCAGGGGCCGCCTGGCCCCAGCGCCTCAGTCCGCGCCAACAATGAGGAGGAGGATGAAGAGGAGGAGGAGGAGGAGGAAGAGGAGGAGGAGGAATTTCAGGAGGAGGAGGAAGACGGATCGCCTAAACCCTTCGGAGAAACGCTCCACATGAGGGCAGCATCCCAAGGCACTCAGCCACTACTCATAGTCAACCAGTAGAAGGGCCGGTCACAGTTCACCCACTGGCGCCTCCGAATTATGCAGGCGGGCGGGTGGGGTCGTAGCCGTAAGGTTCGCCATCAAGGTTCGGCGGAGCCGTGACGGTGACGTTGTCTGCGAAGTAGTCTGTCCAAGTCTGTAAGACAATGAGGGAGGTGCACGTGGATATGGCCATGATGCCGTCGCCGAACGCGATGGCTGCATCCTGGAAGGCGTGACCGGTGGTCAAGGTCGAGAGCAGCGCGACGTCCGCTGTCCTCCCGGTCTGCGATCCCCATTTCTGC